AAGTTTTGGTAAAGATTATTTAAATCTTGTTTTGTTTAATTCACGGACATATCTCTGAATTGGGAGCTACGAGATTATGGAAATATTTTGATTTTCTTCTCATGGCACCCTGAGAGAAGAAAGGAATCTCCCTGAGTTCTAACCTCTACCCTGAGTCACGTGCTGAGTTCCTCCAAGATCGAGTAAACCTGAAACCTGATCCAGGGGCAGCCAGGGAACCTTGAAACCCAATACTGGAGGGAACCAGGAAATCTCCGCAACCAAGGGATGGGGAATCGATATTTTTGTGTGATGGATAATTTGTAGTTTGGTGGGAATACATTAGTTATTTGTTGGTTTTTGTTTACTATCCCCCAATACAGTGAAATAACACACCCTGATCTATTCTGGGATTCAGGGATTCCGACATTTACAGGAAAATCCAGGTTAGGAATTAGGGATTGACCAGGATACCCTTTAGGAATTGAATATATTCTCATAAACCTTCAACACGACAGTAAAATCCACCAATTTCCCCTTTACGTCTAAATTTGTTTACAATAACATGTTTTTAGGAGGTTTTCAAAACCCTTTACATATATATGGAGTAACGTTGACATGGTTTTTCTTCCATATATTGAACTTTTATTCTGCCTAAAAAATCAAAGAATTCAAATTACAATCCTTAATTAGATTTCGGAATAAAAAAAACTTTAATGGGACTAAACTAAAAACGTAATTTTATGTGAAACTATTTATAGTCAGAGTGGCATTTTCGATTGACGACGGTACCATAGAACCTTTGTCCAATCAAGAATTAATAAGAGTTTTTCTATCTGAAAATTTGTCATTAGCAATTCTTGTTTCTCCATAGAAGTAGAGTCATGAAGAATAATCATTAAATAACGAAGATAGAGGCGAAATTTTGCACTTTTTAAGAAAAAAGAAATTATTGGCACTTATAGAGTGGTTTAAAGGATACCATTGAGAATCTGACACAATATGGAAGGTCACTTAAAATCACGGCTTCAGTCCCTTTAACGTAATCTTTGTTTATGTTTACAAACAAGACAAAGCTTTTACCCTAGATAGCTCATGTCGTCTTCACCATACAGTAGTGTTTCAGCTGAAATTGAAAATATGAATTTAGCTCTGCACTAGCTACAGAGCGTCACATGTCATATTAGATTATCTCCAAGCCTTAACGCCAAAATACAACCATAATACTCGAAAAAACTAGTATTTTCCGCAAGAAAAAATTCTTATATTAGCCTTATTGACTTTTTCAAAATGATTCATTTTTCTTAAATTTTCTGATTAGTCCCGAAAATCGCAATTTAGACCGATTTAGGATCTATTATTATGTGGGACACCCTGTACGTCCAATGTCCATACAGTACATCAAATAAAAAGAGATGCGGCAAGTATTGTTTATGCTCCGAAGATATATTTATTGTATGGGGTATTTAGTTCTGTATAGAGGACCAGTAATACACACAATTCAGAATGGCAAGATACTGTAAAGTAAAGAGAAGTAAAACGTATTTTTTTACTTTTATGTATGACGAGTTCATGATGTAAAATTACAGTTTTCAGATTTATAGTCTGCATGAACAATCTATTCATATCTAAGGTATTTACATAAACTCCGTGACCACAGAACAAATGAAACCCATCAAACATATTTATATATTTAATATTAATACTCGATTGGTTTAATTCAGAATTTGACACGAGATGTCAATCAAACATTAGTAAACATACATTTAGTAATTATTTATCAAATCAACATTACATACCAAGGCCGGTGGAAGGGGTAAAGGCCTGGGGGGGGGAAGAAAGGGGAAAGGGAGTAAATTTGTTTTCTTTAGCATGATTTTAAGAACTTTTTATTCACCTTGTTCTTTTAATGAGTAACCTATCATTATAAAATTGTACACACGCATGCATCAGTTAACCCCCCCCCCAGGACTACTCCTATTTTTTGAATTCCTGACCCCCTTTTACCAATCAAATGATTCAATTATAGCATTCCATTTCCTTTATTTATTCTTATAAATATAAATTAGTTTGTTTCTAATAATCAAAACCAAAGAGAAATAAGTCATGCAATTATTAAAGAGACAATATAAAACTATTAGTTGTTAAGGAAACTGTAAGTTTACAAAGGTTCAACTTAAACCGTTTGATAAAGTTAACTTTTTTCAATAGAGTTCATACAAATAATTTATGCAGAATAACTATCCCACATATCCTGTTCAATAATGTAGAAGATAACCTCGTTTTTTACTTGATTGATAATTTACTCTTTTGTGTCTTAAGCAGAAATACATAAGTCACTTTTAAAGAGATACAACATTTGAACAGTTTTGAAAGTTAAAAGCATAAATATCTCATTCATTACCCATCAGGTAAAGGCTAAAAGGGTTCTTGGACGAACAACTATTTTTAAATGATCTGTCTGCACTTCAGATTACGTCTACAGTTTTTTTAATGATTATGGGTTGATACTAAATACAATTCTTGATTTTAAAAAATTAAAGCCCTAAAAATTTTTAAAAAATCCCCCCCCTCTCCCCAACAACAAAAAAGTTTCTTCACCAATCTTCTGTGAACCATCTCATACTTTAGTTCTGACAGTTCAATCTTCTATTCCTATGCAGTTTCCAAGCAGTTTCCAGCCAGTTTTTAGGCAGTGTCCAAGCCAAGGCTGTCAAGTTCAGGCAGTCTTTCGGCTTTAATCTCATCCGCATGCAATCCACAAGCAGGAGAAGGCGCCGTAGAAACTTTTCCTGCAGACAGATAGACAAGCAGAGAGATAGATAAACAGACAGATAGATAGATAGATAATTAGATAAATAGACAAGGAGATAGATAGATAATTAAAGAAATAAATACAAGAAGATAGATAGACATGCATAGAGATAGATAAACAGACAGACAGATGGACAAGCGCATAGATAGACAATGAGAAAAATAGACAAGCAGACACTAGACAAGCAGATAGATAGACGATTAGATAGATAGACGATTAGAAAGATAGACAATTAGATAGATAGACAAGGAGACAGATAGCTAGTCAAAAACAGAAATACAAGAAGATAGATAGACAAAAAGATAGATAGACAAGCAGTTAGATAGACAAGCAGACACTAGACAAGCAGATAGATAGGCAAGCAGATATACAATAAAGCAGATAGACAGATAAGGAAACAGACAGACAGACAAATAGACTGATGCAGAAGAATAGATCAGTTAAGGGATGCAGATAATAGAAAAAGACCGAGCACTTAAAATAGCAAACAAGAGAGAGAAGTAGACAGATATATACAGTTAGATATACAAACAGATATACAGGCAGGAAGACAGACAAATAGACAGACAGATATACAGATAGATAGACAGGCAAATAGATAGGAAGGCTTTTCCGCAAAACTGAAGTTTACAACGTCTGCTGTCTAAACTATTTTATTGAGACCAGAAAACCAAATATATCCTGCTAAAATGCTTCTTCCTCTGGCGATAATTTTATAACAAAATTGGTGAAAATCATAAAATTGTAACAAATTTCTCGCCTGAAATGCCGCAGGTTTAGCGTTATATTGGTTTGGTCATCTAATCGTTCTAATCGTTTCATTGGTTTATTCATTCATTCAAAAATCACCAGGGCATTTTCATTTTTCATTTCATCTAAACTGGGTCTTCTTCGTTATCACTCCAACTTCATCTGTCTCAATCATAAACTGATAAAACTCTCAAGCTGAGAACTTTGGACCAGGCGGAATATTTTTCATTTCAAAGCTGAGAGTCTAATAGTTAATTTCAGCCTTTAAATTATTTCTTTTCTATGACATTTTTTATATATAAATTTGGGTTGTTGGTCTGTCTCTTATGAACGTCAAAATGACTGAACCGATGAGGCTCAATTTTTAATTGCACCCACACATTCAAACTTAAAAATTTCGAGCGGAAAAAAATTTGGACATTCGTTTTGTATGAAAATGCATCGAATCAAATAGTAAAATCCACGAAAGTTTTAGATTGATTAAAAATGCCGACTTTTGGAGCAACAATTAGAAGCTAAAAAAGGGTGCACGAAGCGCCAAATAAGTCTAGATTTTTTTCATTTTCCTGACTTTTCTTTAATCAGAAATTCAAATTTTCCAGGTTCCTATTTATTGTGTTCCATGTTGTAAAAAGCAATTTTCCAATTTATTTTCCCTCTTCTCTTCATCTATCCCCGTTCTTCAAGATATTTAATACTCTTGCCTCAAAGGACCTTTAAATTTAAATCCCCCATGAAACCCCCTTAATCCCCACCTTTACTCCCCTTCCCCCCTCTCTAAACCATCCAACCCTCCCTAGAGATATCATTCTGCCCCTTGTCTCCCCTCCATCCTATTTTGTGCTCCAGTGAGTAAATAGTGACAAAAATATTTAGAGGTTCATCCATTTTAGCCGCTTGCTACAGTTTAGAAAACTATTCAGCCGGATTTTTTTAGACGAACTTTTTGTATTTTGCTTTTTCCGTTTTTATAAAACTGCCCTTAATTCTAAATTAATTGTGAACATGTTCTCTTTGTGTACATCGTAAAACAAAACAAAAATAATTCGCGGATTTTCACAAAAAAATTCGTGGATTTTCAAAATTTTGAAAAATTTAATAAAGATCGAATTTCGATGGAGACAAATATTTAAAATTTCAATCATTCATAAACCTTCCCTGGGGTCCCTAGATGTCCCACAAAAAAATTGGGCCCGATCGGTTCAGCCGTTTTGACGTTTATTGGATACAAACAGACAGACAGACAAACAGACAGACAAGCCAAATTTATATATAGATTAATTATAATTTTACATTTAAGTCTTTCATGGTTATTATAAAAAAACTCGATGTGTTTTATAAAAGACTTATTACATATATATTCGTTTATGTAATTGTCCTTAACTTTTCTAGAATTACAAGTTGGGCTACGGGTTTTTCGATCTATAGTTTCAGATTTGTCCAAAAATTTACAAACTTATTTTTTTCCAATTTTATTAGGATTTCGAACATGAACTTGTTATTTAGAAATAAAAAAGCAAAAAATTGTATCTAATTTTATGCATAAACTAATGTTTAAATTTTATTCATTACAGAAACTTCAGCTGATTGAACCAGATCTTTGAATGCCTCCATCTTTTCGCAAAGTTCTTCAATTGAAACCTTGTCGTCTTCCACCGTACACATCAGCTGCATCTTGTCAATACCAAACCCTACCGGTAATCTGCGACTGGAGCCCCAGAGTAAACCCGCCATTTTGATTTCTCGAACCTTCTCTAACATCTCTTCAAGGTCGGTTTCGCTGTCGCAGGGCATAATGTCGAATAGGACGGAGGTCTTGGCGATGGTTGGATGTTTGCACATCTTATCCACATACTCCTTGATGTTCTTGGTGGTTATTCTAACCTTCTCGGGGTCATCCTTCTCTTCCTTCTCCTCCTTCTCCATCTTCACCATCTTCTCGTTGGGTTCTCCACCTTCTAGTGATATAACTCGACTTTCCATCCCCTTGACGAGGTTTTGGAGATCTCTGGTAGCAATATTCAACTGAGCAATCTCATGGTCCAAGGATCTTAGCTTAGCTTGAAGTGGCATCTTCTCGTTTTCTAGAACAAAAATATTTTATTATTCTTTAGTTACCAAACTGTTTTCTAAATAAACTTTTGAAACATTAGATGTTTCTACTTGAATAAAATCAAATTTAATTAAAACTCAATAAATCACCACAAAATCTCGAAATCTGAATTGAAAAGCACTTTGCAAAGGAATTGGGACCACACATTTTCAAATTCCTTTGAATAAACCTTTGAGATTTAAAGATTAAGACTTTTTGATCTGGCAGAGTTTGTAGCTTAAACGGACTAAGCTGAAAAGTGACTTAAAAATTCACTACTAATGAAACAACAGAAAATGAATTAACTTAACTTTTGGTAAGGATACAAATATTTGTAGCATGTTCTGTTCAACATTTTGAACAACATGTTCGTTATTTCGAAATGCTTGTATAGATATTACGATTTACAAATGAAATGTTAGGACTATTTCTAACGGTTAAATTTAGATATATATGAAAGGCGCGAAGTCTTCGGGATGTTTACCTTAGTTCTGTGTATATCCAGGGTGGGTAGATAACTATAAAGATTAAGTAACTTGGTAGTTTATATACCAGTCAGCGGTCAACTTATACATCGTAGTAAGAAGAGAACTGCGTCATATTTGTCACTAACATGCGTAATACAGAGAAGATACGTTAGATACTTATTATTTTCATTAATTTAGCGTATACAATTATTTTACTTCAGCAGTTTTGATTATATATCTGCGAAGAAATGCGCAATTATTAAGTAATTTAAAATCATTATTTAAATTTATGCTGAATGTAGTAAAGGTACATCCTGCTAGAAATTACACATGGTGAGGTTGTACACTGTGCAATAGTTTCAGCATTTAGCACATATACGTAGAGTGTACAGTATTTTCAGAAAGCAGCACATATACACTGTAAAGTATACGGTAGTTTTAGCAAACAGCACATATACACTGCACAGTGTACAGTAGTTTCAGCATTCAGCACATATACACTGTAAAGTGTACAGGACTTTCAGAAAGCAGCACATATACACCACACAGTCTACAGTAGTTTTAGCATTCAGCACATATACACTGCAGTACAGTGTACAGTAGTTTCAGCAAGCAGCAAATATACACTGTACAGTGTACAGTAGTTTTTGCATTCAGCACATGTACACTGTACAGTGTGCAGTAGTTTCATGGCAACAGCATATATGTACCGTACAGTGTACAGTAGTTTCAGCATTCAGCTCATATACAATGTAACAGTGTACAGCAGTTTTGGCATTCAGCACATATACATTGTAACAGTGTACAGTAGTTTCAGCTTTCAGCGCATATACACTGTACAGTGTACCGTAGTTTAAGACACATACACATTATATGGTATTCCCACCAAGAAACTTACATTGTACTGTAGTCCCAGAAAGACATGTACACTGTACAGTTTACAGTAGTCCCAGCAAGACATGTACAGTGTACAGTAGTCACGACAAGACGTTTACACTGTACACTATTCAGACGATCAAGTAAGATATGTGCACTGTAAAATAGTTCCAAAGAAACATGTACACTGTACAGTAGTCCCAGCAAGACATGTACAGTGTGCAGTAGTCCCAGGAGGACATGTGCACTGTACAGGGGGCAATAGATCAAGGAAGATATGTGCACTGTAAAACAGTTCATACAAAACATGTACAGTGTACAATAGTCCCAGCAAGACATGTACATCATGTGTCCAGTCGTATAAACAAACTTGTACAATGTACAGTAGTCATAACATTGCATGTACACTGTACAGAATACAAGGTAGAGTGTATGAACCATGAAATACGGTATGACATGAGCCGCGGAGTTGATCATTAGACATCTGGAGTCTCGCCACTATATCCCTTCCTTCCCCTTCTTTAAGTTACCCCCCCTCCCGCTTCCCCTCCTCTCTATCCATCCTTACTTCATTCTTTCTTTATTTCAATTTTTTCCTTCCTACAGCTTTTTGTTTTCTTTCCATTTTCTCTTTTCTTTCTTCATTTGCAAAAAACTCTTTTGCTTCCTTTATCCATACTTTTTTTACTCTCGATATTTGTAAACCATTTTCAATTATCATATCTTATTTCTTTTGTTTCTTTATGTTTTCCTTTTAGCCTCCTTTTCGTCTTTTCTTACTTTTAAAATTTACTTTCATCTCAGCTTTCTTCTCTTTTAGCCAGAGTTTTCTTAACTTTTACCCTCAGATTTCTTCTCTTTTAGCCTGAGTTTTCTTCTCTTTTATCCTCAGCTTTCTTCTCTTTTACCCTTAGCTTTCTTAACTTTTACCCTCAGCTTTCTTCTCTTTTACCCTTAGCTTTCTTAACTTTTACCCTTGGCTTTCTTCTCTTTTACCCTCAGCTTTCTTCTCTTTTACCCTCAGCTTTCTTCTCTTTTAGCCTGAGTTTTCTTCTCTTTTATCCTCAGCTTTCTTCTCTTTTACCCTTAGCTTTCTTAACTTTTACCCTAGGCTTTCTTTTCGTTTACCGTTACCTTTCTTCACTTTTACCCTCAGCTTTCTTAATTTTTGCCCTCAGCTTTCTTATCATTTACCCTTAGCTCTCTTAACTTTTACCCTCAGCTTTCTTCTCTTTTACCCTTAGCTTTCTTAACTTTTACCCTTGGCTTTCTTCTCTTTGACCCTCAGCTTTCTTCTCTTTTACCCTCAGCTTTCTTCTCTTTTACCCTCACCTTTCTTCTCTTTTACCCTTAGCTTTCTTCTCTTTTACCCTTAACTTTCTTCTCTTTTACCCTCAGCATTCTTCTCTTTTACCCTTAGCTTTCTTCTATTTTACCCTTAGCTTTCTTCTCTTTTACCCTTGGCTTTCTTCTCTTTTACCCTCAGCTTTCTTATCTTTTACCCTTAGCTCTCTTTTACTCTTAGCTCTCTTAACTTTTACCCTTAGCTTTCTTCTTTTTTACCCTTAGCTTTCTTCTCTTTTACCCTCAGCTTTATTCTCTTTTACCCTTAGCTCTCTTAACTTTTACCCTTAGCTTTCTTCTATTTTACCCTCAGCTTTCTTCTCTTTTAGCCTTAGCTTTCTTCTCTTTTACCCTCAGCTTTCTTCTCTTTTACCCTTAGCTTTCTTAACTTTTACCCTTGGCATTCTTCTCTTTTACCCTCAGCTTTCTTCTCTTTTACCCTCAGCTTTCTTCTCTTTTACCCTTAGCTTTCTTAACTTTTACCCTTAGCTTTCTTCTCCTTTACCCTTAGCTTTCTTCTCTTTTACCCTCAGCTTTCTTCTCTTTTACCCTTAGCTTTCTTCTCTTTTACCCTCAGCTTTCTTCTCTTTTACCCTTAGCTCTCTTAACTTTTACCCTCAGCTTTCCTCTCTTTTACCCCTTAGCTTTCGAAGCTACACCATATTCGACACTATGTTTGGAAGCTACACCATATTCGACACTATGTTTAGAAGCTACACCATATTCGACAATATGTTTAGAAGCTACACCATATTCGACACTATGTTTAGAAGCTACACTATATTGGACAATATGTTTCGAAGCTACACCATATTCGACAATATGTTTAGAAGTATACACCGTATTCGACACTTTTTTTAGAAGTATACACCATATTCGACACTATGTTTCTAAGCTACACCATATTGACTAATTTTACTGCTGATCTTTTTATTGTGAAGCTTGCTGCGATGGTAACCAAACAAATGGGGTCATTTAGCTCCGATTATTCCGTTACGGAGTTAGTTCCATCCCCCCCCCCTTCTATATTTTGAGAGCTCCGAGGCATGTTTACATACCTACAATCCACTACAATCTAGACATTTAATTAAACATTGAAAATATTACGGATGGAAAATAAACATGGATTTGAACTTGATTTTAAAGAGATGTCTTCGTGATTTCAAGTAGATGAGAGCAGTACCTTTCAAACCTTTATCTGATCAAAAATAAGAACGATATCTTTGTTTTCCGGCTTTAAAGACCGTTTCCTTTATTGTGTAAATAAGATGGGATCAAATGGAATCTAAAACTGTAACAAAAAAGCAAAGAATTGAAAATATAGGAATATATATATATAGCATATAGTATTTCCAACTTTTTCAGTCTAAATATACATTTTAGATGTTTAAATATATATTTCTTCCAAGACAAAATGTTTCGTGGGTATAACGAATATCGATAGATTTATCATAACTAAACAATTGGTTTTTAAATTCATTTATTCAAAATTAAATCTAATTGTAAAAATTACTCAAACTTTCTCCATGTTATTCTCCTAAGTTGAATTGTATATATTTGTAAATAACTAGTTCTGTTTGTGTAGTGTGGATTGAGTAGGGTTGTACAACTGCCTGAATTAAGCTTATGAATATGCAAAACTAAACTTGTAAAGCATGAACATATACTGCCTGTACTGCTGTAAAAGGGTGTCTCAGAAAATAACAACGGTAATTTTATTTGTAAAAATCTAAAAGGAACTGAACACAACTTTTAATGTTTGGTCCCTGTTTTTGCAACCTGATGGTATACACTTTTGATAATTTAAATTCATACATAATTCGAAATATCAAAGGTCTACAATATCAGGTTGCAAAATATAAAGACTAACAAATTTGAGCTTGTAACAAGTATTCACTATTTAGTTCCTTTCTCATAGGGTTTCCCCATTTCCTAAATACTTGACTAGTTCATCCTGTATTTAGAGATTTTTTCTTTGGACACTCTGTATTTCTGGTAGGGACTAGACTATAATAGAACAAATCCTAAAATGGTTTGAAGTCTATCTCAGCTAAACCCAAGATCCCAAACCACATGTAAATAATAATCTTCAAGGGGAGGGTCCTATAGGAGAGGGGGGGAAGGTCCTGTAGGAGAAATGGGGGGATTTTAATCTTTAAAAAAGAAATCATTTATTCTTTGCACTTTTTGAGCTACCCGAAATGTTTTAAACAACAGCAAGAAAAAGGAGGAAGTGGATTACTTTTATCTAATCTTCTATTCCTAATATCTTTGCAATCTGATGGTGTAGGCCTTTGATGTTTCACACTATGAATTTTGCCGGATCAAAAACATTATATTTGATTTATATAAATAAATCATGTTCACTTTTGCAAACACTTTATAAATTGCAGCATTTACACTTATCTTTAACATTTCATTTACTTTTAATATTTGCCCGCCAAAAATGTCTCTAAGTAATAAACTTTAAATTTGTTTTCTGACACATGGTCGTACGAGGGGGGGGCAGTCCTCTCTACTTTTTCTCCTCCTGGGGGGGCACACATTAATAATTTATTAACACTTGTTGTATGGAAGTGTGTATATGATCGAATAGTTTAAAAAGGCAAGAGATTAAACTGGACTGAAGGAGAAGGTTAAACTGGACTGAAGGAGAAGGTTAAACTGGACAGAAGGAGAAGGTTAAACTGAACAGAAGGAGAAGGTTAAACTGAACAGAAGGAGAAGTTTAAACTGAACAGAAGGAGGAGATTAAACTTAACAGAAGGAGAAGGTTAAACTGGACAGAAGGAGAAGGTTAAAGTGGACAGAAGAAGAAGGTTAAACTGGACAGAAGGAGAAGGTTAAACTGGACAGAAGGAGAAGGTTAAACTTAACAGAAGGAGGAGATT